TTCCCATTCCCATTTACTCTACCACTTGGTATTTTATAATACGACGTGGTTTGATTTCATCCAAATAATATTATAAATAAAAAATAAAAAGATAAAATAAAAACCACAATATGTGATTGTTCTGTGACAATGCAAGTTTATCATCACTATAAATTCAATGTTTTAATTAATATAATGACTTTCCATCTATAAAACAGGTTTTATTATAAAAATGTTATTCCATAGCACTTTCTTTTCATATTTAAGTTTAATAGTTAAGATAAATTTTGACATTTAGTGAATGATGTGTTTATTTGACTTCAACTTTTAATTTTGTATTTAATGAAATTTTAAAATTTTAATTTTTAATAATATATATATTAATGAAAAAACATTGACATGATGGTTCTTGGGATTTGTTGGGTTTAATCATGGTATTTATAAAACAAGTTGTCTGATTGGCATTGAATTATGAATTACGAGAAGAGAAGAATTGGAAGATAAAAAAGGACCCACGTTTAATAATACAACTTGGGTTAGGAGGTCAACTCTTTATCAAAGGGAACACTACACACCACATGCCGTTGGATTTTGGAGTATTTATTTATTCATTGATTTTTGGTTTCTTTGAATTTGTCGGTTGAGTGAAATTCTTGTTACGTCGTCGTATTGCCATTGTTTTTTCTTTTTTCTTTCTGAATTCAATTGTTGACATAGTTTGCTGTGAAATTACAAATTCGAAGGATAACCACATTGTCATTTTCTACATAAATAAATATTTTTATTAACTAACAATCTTGACTTGAAAAACGGATAAAATAAACTTTTTCCTCTTAAAGCAAAGATATTGGTTGCTTCCTGTAAAGAGCGAGTTTCTTGACGTTAAAGTCACCAATATTCTTGTTTGAAAATGTTTTTGGAGTAATAATTTCAGACGGAATGCTTTTCCACGTATATATTTTCCAATAATTTTTTAAATTAAAAAAATCATAGTTGTAGTGGTACGCTAGCTTAATAAATATTATTGAGGTTTTTATGGTATAAAATAAAACAAATACAGGAAGCTCAAGCTACAGCAATAAGTGGAAACAGATACGGAGGACTTGCTCCAAAGAAGAAGCCATTGATTTCAAAGGTAATGAATGATTATTTATTTTTTTATTTTTTTTATTTTAATGATAGAAAGTCTCAATTTTAAACACCGACCTAAATTATTAATGCCTCTTGTAACTTCGGTCTATATTAGGACCACGAACGTGCCTTCTTTGATTCGGCGGATTGGGCCTTATGCAAGGTACTTTTTCATACCACCCTTACAAAATAATAATAATAATTTATTAGATATAAATTTGACTTTTTTTTTTTTTAAATTTAATTTTATTTATGATAGATTCCTAAATTTTAAAAAATAGGGGTATATATTAGACAAAAATAAAAGTTTTAAATTAATAAACTATTTATTATGGCCTCCCAAATAGCAAGGGGCAGGGCTTTGTAACAGCGTGGCCGTAGAGAAACTACAGCCTAAGCTACAGGTACAGTTAAATTTTTGCATTATTTTCTCAAATAATTTACGTTTTAAATTTATTTGCCAAATATGCCCTTACTTTTCCTTCTAATTACCAGAGGACCCCAAAGCCACAGCTTCCACCAAGGAGGCCGGTCTGTACATTCGAGAAGGGCAATATCGTAAGGAAAAAGAAATCCGATTTAAATCTCTAATTATTATTTTGGGTGAAGTAATTTTTCACTTTGGTTTTTTATGGTAACGCAGGTTGAATAGTTAATTAAAAGGCAATGTGAAATGTGTCGCAGTAAAAAGGTCTTCGGAAGGATTGATTTAACTGTGCAATTTTTAGCAGCTAAATTAATTCTGAATGACCCAACTTATTTTCTTAAATGAAGGTTGTTGAAATCATTTGTATTATTGGAATCAAATTTGATTTGGATATTAAATCATCAATCTCTCAATGCTTAATTTACTCAGCTTGGTTCTAATTAGTTGATTTAATCAAATACTTAATTTAAGATAAATAAGTTTATCCAAACAATGCTGACAGGTTGGTTGAAGAATCAAAATTTCTTGATATGTTAAAATGAAATAATAATATTCACATTTCAACTCGAGATTTGTGTTCGTCTTATTGTTTTTTTAAATGTACGTTATTGCACGTTGAAATCATTATTTACAAAAGGCGAGAAAATAAGCGACAACCTTAATTACTGATAGTAAACATTGTCCATTTTGGCTTATTACGTATCGTAGCTAGCCTCACAATTTTAAAACGCATCCCTTAGTGAGAAGTTTCCACATTTTATAAGGAATGTTTCGTTTTTCTCTCAAACCCATATGAGATTTCACGTATCGTCGTTAGCCTCACAATTTTAAAACGTGTCTTCTAATGAGAAGTTTCCACATCTTATAAGGAATGTTTCGTTTTTCTCTTAAACCAGTGTGAGATTTCACAAAGCACTCTCTTGAAAGCTAGTGGAAGAGGTTTCTAGACCTTATAAAGAATGTTTTATTTTTCTCTCCAACCGATGTAGGATCTAACAATCCACCCCCTTGAGGGCTAGCGGAAGAGGTTTTCACATCTTATAAGGAATGTTTCATTTTTCTCTTAAACCGACGTGGGATCTCAAAATCCACCCCCTTGAGGGTTAGCGGAAGAGATTTCCACACCTTATAAGGAATGTTTCGTTTTTCTCTCAAACCGACGTGAGATTTCACAATCCTTCAAGAGTTTCCACACCTTATAAGATATGTTTCGTTTTTCTCTCAAACCCACGTGGGATCTCACAATCCACTCCCTTGGAGGCTAGCGGAAGAGGTATCCATACTTATAAGGAACGTTTTGTTTTTCTCTCAAACCCATGTGGGATCTCACAATCCACCCACTTGAATACTAGTGTTCTTGCTAGCATATCTGTTAGTGGTGAGCTTGAGCTGTTACAAAATAGCCGTCAGCCAGACACACTTGAAAATCATAAGGTTGATGGCGATATATAACGAGCCCAAAATTAACACTATTTACTATCGATGGAGTTGGACTCGAACAATTCGTTGAAGCTTCGTAAAGTTTAATTGGAACAAGAGTTTTGGTGAATTAGTTCAACTTCTTCTCTGCCTTTCTTAAATTTCTCACCATTTCCTTTCTCTTACCAAACCCATCTGCTTTCTTATCTCAACGGTCTTTTGTTCATCCCTCCAAGCTAATGATCCAATCAGATTATATAGATGAAAAGCTCAGAATTTGTATCTATGTTTTGTTCTTCCCAAACCTCAACTATGGCTCTCGTCTTCTTTCCTTTCCCTAGAATGTCCATTTCAGCTGTTGCCGTCTTCTACCTTCTTACCTCTTGTTATTTGACCGGTAATGTAGCATTAAACCTACTACCACATACAATCTATATTTTATTAATAATTATCTAAATTAATATTTTTTTTTTCAGGAAAAGGAGACGACGCCGAGGGTGTTGCATCCAGCGGTTTTGTTGGTTACGAGGATCCACCCGAGATTGTTGCCAAAGCATTACGATGCTTCAATGATAAATATGTACGTCACACATAGTCATAACTAATATATATCTTGACTAATTCAAATTAGTTACCATGGAGATAGTATTCCTCACTTATAAACCCACGATCTTCCATTAAATTACCCACAGTGCGACTCACTTCCAACAATCCTCAACAATCCTCCCCTCGAACAAAGTACACTATAAGCCTCTCCTGAGGCTTATAGAGCTCTTGAATAGCCTTCCCTTAATCGAGGCTCGACTCCTTTCTCTGGAGCCCTCAAACAAAGTACACATTTTGTTCGACACTTTAGTCACTTTTGACTACACCTTCGAGGCCCACAATTCATTGTTCCATATTTGAGAATTCTATGACATGCATTAAATTCTAACAACTTTTACATTTCACTGTATTTGGAGATGAAAATGAGAATAGAATGAAAGAGTAGTTATAATAGATGGTAGATAATTTATTTATAAAATATTTTTATTCTTAAAATAACTAAACTTGAGATTAGGTTAAATGTTTAAATTGGTAAAAGTAATTCTTTTAGCATGGAATTTACCATGGAAGTAAAAACAGATATACAGCGCGTGTGAAGAATCGTATAGATTAAAGGCGAGTGGGAATGTGGAGGTCCCACTGGAAAAAACAGAAGAATACTGCAGCGGGCCGTGTTTGGGTGAAACGCACTTAGTGCTTGATTGCATTGACGGCATTTTTAGCAATTTCTTGTTTTACAATAAGGCCACGTTGCAAGATGTTAGGGACACCATCCACGCTGGATGTGGCTATGGCCCTCAAAGAGGTTCTATTTTTCTCCTTTTATTTATTTAATTAAATTCTAATTTCATCAATTAATTCATCTTTTTAATTTTGTATTCCATAATTATTTATATGTATATATATATATATATTTTAACAACTAAAATTGTGTTGATGCAGGAAACTTCGACGTGTTGGAGCACATAAGAGCTGAAACAGACAAAGCGTGGAGGGCTTCGAATAAGACAGTTATTGGATTTAGCTTTATTATTTTGGGCCTTTTTAGCTTGTTCCTTTGAAATCCTATTATTATTATTATATAATTTTAACATGCCCTGTCTTGTATAAATTATCGAGAAAACTTATGTATTTAATTTCATGATTGATCTTATGTAACAAATAGAGCGAGATTAAGTGGAACTAATCGTTACTATTATCTTAAGATATATATATATATATATTATCGATTAAGACATTAAGTGATCAAATTATTTTATTAAATACGAATTAATTTTTAAAATTTTAAAATGCCTAAATTAATAAAAAAAAAAATTGAATTTTGCACTTGGTTTTAAAATTAAAAAAATTAAAAAATATCTTTATTGTTAATTTTGGAGGAAAGAAAAGTTTAAAAAATACATTTTTTTAAATAAAGATTGGGTATTTTTAAAATATTTTTTTAGAAATTATTTGTAGCGTTATTTATTTATTTAGCATTTTTAAATATAAAAGAAAAGCGAAAACTTGACGGCCAAAGCCCCGAGCCCTCTCCTCCACGGTTGCACCTCATCATGTCGACATTAGAGTCCCAGTTTCAACTTCAATTTCACGGCCCCGCATTGATTCTTCGCGCTTAAGCAAATATATGTTATCCGAGATTCCTATTCGTTCTTTGGAAGATTTCTACTGGGAGTTCATCAAATTGATTGCTAGCTTCGATGAAGATCAACATCGATCGGGAGGCGCGGAAAGTTGGGGTTGACAATCGAATTCCCCTCCGGAATTACTATCGGATCGCCGATAATCTCCTAAAACAGGTAATCATTTCGGAAACTTTCTTCTCGATTATTCTGATTGATTATTGATGCTGAAATGTTAATGTTTAATGTTTAATTTGAGGTTTTGTTAGTTTCCATTTCTTCCTCTGCGTGGTTGTTGAAGTGATTTTGATTGCAGTTTTTTTTACTGGTCGTTTAGGTATTAGAATTTTCCTCCCGTTGTATTTTGATGTCATTGTGTTGTTTTCTTGAAATGGCAGGCTAATATTTATCGGGAGGAGAATAATATTGTGGATTTGTTCATTATACTTCTTAGGTTTTCAAGGTAAGGGCCTAGTTGATGCTTGTATTTTCCATTGCTCACGGATGTTGATTCTTGGTGTAGGAAACTCAATTCTCAACTTGTTCTTATTTCCTCAGCTTGGTTTCTGAAACTATACCACGGCATCGTGATTACCTAGCTTTTTTCCCAAAGGAAAAGATATTTTATAAGAAGGTGAGTTAAAACTCAATATCTCTGCTCTTCTGCAATGAATGGTATGTGAATGTTGTGTCATTTTATTTTATTTTATGTTGTCCTACCAGAAACTGTTGAGTGTAGTAGATGAACTTGAGTCCTTGAAGCCCGAATTTGATCGCCGAGTAAATGAACTGGAGAAAGTGTATGGACGGTCTCGTCTTCCTCCACCTGACGAGCAGGAAATAGTTTCAAACAGTCGACGGCCATCTCCCTATGTGAATGGAAAATTTTCATTAATCTTGGATCAAAAGCAGGTATCAACTCTAAATGTTTGATATGATACTTTCTTTTCGTGTAACTATATCACTAATCAATGAAATTCCCACCAATTATTTAGAGTTTTTATTTACTTCTTGTCTTTTGCAGTTTTTATTTTTTGATTATTTACTGTTATCTTGTGATTTCACTCTACTGATACACAGCCTCCCCAATCCTCTTAATTCTCAGCATGCCAATTTACAACCACAATCTTCATTGAGGTATCATGACGACCGAGGTCTAGTTTCACAATCAAGTTCTGTAAGGATTGAGAATAAGTTCTCAAATCTGTGAGTATACATTTTGCCCATTTATTTCATACATGTTTATATGAATCCATTAGCGGCGTAGTAGTCCCTACGCTTCATGATAATATAGGGAGATAAATCATTCCAATATTTATATTTTAGTGTAAGCTAGAAGAAGGTGATCTTGTAGTTCAAGTAGCTAGTTAGAGAGTAGAAGACAGAAAATAAGAAAGTATATTGACGACATCAGAGTTCTTCTGCATCTGGTCTCAAGATTGAATAGTAAGACAGTGTCTTTAGTATAAGGGCTTAAGAATACAATTCTAGGCGTGCTCATCTAGTCTCTAGTTCTTATGAACATGAACAAATGGATCTGATAATTAGTGCTGGGAATACACAGGTCTATCAATGTACCGCTTCCCAAACCCGAAACTTTGTCTAGACATTCTATTTTGGGTCCCAATGGTCTTCAGGGCCAATGGAAGGGACCGAGTACAGACAAGGTGAGTTTTGCGCATTCTTTTTTTTTTATGTTGTTTTCTTTTGTTTCTGTCTACTATGAAATCCATTCACAGGTTAATCTTTTTGTTCTGCCAGATTCTCTATCCAAGAAATCAGGATTATACTTCTGAAGATTCAAGGTCAGAGTCGTGTTTAACGTGTATTAGTATCTGAGGATTTACACTTTTTTTTTTTTTTTTTTTTTTTTTTTTTTTTTTTTTTTTTTTTTTTTTTTTTTTTTTTTTT